ATTTCAATCCTAACCATAATTTATTTGAGTACTACTATATCTGAATAAGTATTATAATGATTTTGAATTCTGCTATCATTTCTCTAAATGAAAACACAACACATTACTTTTATTTTTAATGCTTTAAAATTTTAAGAAGTATTAGAAAAAAATGCAACTATTTAGAGCTCAATTCTTGTCAAATACACATCTAAGTGCACCTAATTTAACAAATATCAAATTCATCTTAAAGGTAAATATACTAATTACTTTTTTTATATGTTGTTTTGCAAAGTGTACTTAATGTTATTCTAGCTTAATTCACATAGAGTTTGAATTAATTAACTATGTTTCTCTTTTCTCAAGATTGTTATAGTTCTACATTTGTCTCCACTTTGTTCAAGTTAACTAAAAGCAACTATTTAAATTTAATTTAATAAGGATAAATACTTTTAAGTACCACAAGATTCTTCCCCCCAAACTTAATTCCAAACACTTATATCAATTTGAACATGAATTTAGATGGAGAGATAAATTACAGTAATACTTCCTATTATATGCTCATATCAAAATGAATCAACGGGTATGTAACAAAAAGTGCTACTGAAATGAACAAAACACAATAACTAAATACAAATTATACCAGAAAGTTTAAATATGTAAAAGAGAGAATATAAAATGTACAACAATGAAAGTTCAAAATGAGCCAGTAAGAATAGAATATAATGAAAATAGTAAATGTAATAAAACCCTATGCATCCAACTAAAAGGAATACAAGCAGTCATCCTCCTCCTTATTATCTTCTTCCTCAACTTTTTCATCATCATCATCTTCTTCTTCCTCTTTTTACTCAGGGTCCTCCCTCCTCCGTCGACAGGCGGGCGTGATCATAAGGTTGGTATGGACAATAAACTGGGAACTCAATTGGATTTTTCCTCCAATCCATTGGTTCCATATGTACATCCACAGTGGTACAACCTGTAAATTGGCAATCTAATTGAATGGGCTTTTATTTTACTAATCAATTTGTGTCATATGATATTTTGAGTCATAAACAACCGTCTGTAGGATGGAAACATCATCCTTTCTACTCCCATATCTATTTGAAATAAAAGTCATACTAGGCGGCGAGAACTAGACGCGATAATTAAATAAATATTATTTTATACCATTAAGGTAAGGAAAAAAACCCAGCTTCCATGGACCTACAAAGATTTTCATCATCCAAATGATTAGACCTATTTCAAAAGAGTATTTTCTTCTTATGGGGTGATATATATATATATATATGTATATATATATATA